GGTTGTCTTATGCACATCTTCTGGTCGTACCCTAATTTGATGATATCCCGATTTTAAATCAGTTTAGAAAAATATTTTGCTTCATGCAATTCATCCAAAAGTTCATCGGTTACTAGTATTGGAAATTTATCCTTGATAGTGATTTGGTTAAGTGCTCGATAGTCCACGCAAAATCTCCAAGACCCATCCTTTTTCTTGACTAACAAGACAGGTGAAGAAAAAGGACTAGTGCTGCTTCTAATAACTCCCATAGCCAACATTTTCCCCAACATCCTCTCTATCTCATTTTTCTGAATGTGAGGATATCTATAGAGCCTTATATTGGGCGGTGATGCCACTTCTACTAGTGGAATAGCATGGTCTAATGGCCGGCTAGGGAGTAACCCAAGTGGCGTTGCAAATATGTCTGTGTACTTCACAATAACTTGCATTAAATCTTCTCAAATGGGACAACTTAGGCTAGGGCTCTTGGTTGGAGAGATTAAAAAGGTACCTGACATTGGCCATTGTCGAAGTTGACGTTGTAAGTTAAAGCTGGCAGGTCTAATCTCTCCTTCAGTAATTCCCACCAACCGCACATGACGTCCAGCATGCTCAAATTCCACACTCATGTGATCCCAATTGCAAGCAACATTCCCTAAACTCCGAAGCCAACTTACTCCCAATATGACATCCACTCCAATAAGTTTGATTGGAAAGAGGTCAACTTGAATTTGAAGATCCGGTAATTGGATGGGAACCTTTCGGTAGACCTTGTCACAGTCTAAGCGCCCCCCGTCTGCAACTGCCACTTTGAATAGTTGAGTGGGAGTTGGCTTGAGGTTAAGCTTATGAGCCAAGCGCTGGTTGATAAAATTGTTGCTGCTGCCAGAATCAATCAAAACCACCACCTCTTGTCTGCAAATGTGGGCAGGTAATTGCAAGGTTTGTGAAGAAGACAAGCCCCAATTGCATGCAATGGAGTTGGTTCTAACACAATCTCTTCTGTCCCACTATCATTGCTAGGACCAGAATCAGCCTCCTCATTTTGCATCATCAATTAAGAGATACACCCTTTTGGTTTTGCAATGATGCCCAGGTGCAAACTTATCGTCACACTAATAACAAAGACCCTTTTCCCTTCGTGCTTGCATCTCTGACCCCGTCATGCGTCGGAAGGGATGTCCATTACCTTTCGTTGCTACCTCAGGGGCTGCTGTGAGTTGTGGCTTCGAGTCAACATTGTTGGTCTTTGTACGTCCTTTCTAATTTCCAAAAGAGTTGCATCGATGTTGTATTTTATCTTCTTGAAGACACGCCAGACCAATAGCTTCTGTAAGGGTTGCAGGTTTGAACATCTTGATTTTGCATCGAATTTGATTCTTTAGTCCTCCAATAAAGTTACCAATCAATCCAGCTTCTGGCCACTCCTTGACTTGAGCAGATAACTTTTCGAACTCAGCCTGATACTCCCTCACAGTCCGTACCTGTCGGAGGTTCGTAAGGGCTTCATTAGTCTTCGAAAGCTGTTGGACCAAATCGAACCAACAAATCTTTCTTAAGTTGATCCCAAGTGTGGCCCGGATTATTACCTTCACACCACTGGTACAACTGATTTGCTTCCCCTTTCAAATGGTATGATGCCAATAACATTCTATCTGTTGCAGTGTCCGATGGGCTGAAAAAAACTTCTCTATGTGGAAAACCCATTCATTAGGATCATTCCCAGAGATCGAACCAACAAATCTTTCTTAAGTTGATCCCAAGTGTGGCCCGGATTATTACCTTCACACCACTGGTACAACTGATTTGCTTCCCCTTTCAAATGGTATGATGCCAATAACATTCTATCTGTTGCAGTGTCCGATGGGCTGAAAAAAAACTTCTCTATGTGGAAAACCCATTCATTAGGATCATTCCCAGAGAATAATGGAAAATCCAGACGGGCTGTGCGAGGTAAGATGTTATTATCCCTGATATCAAGGTCTTTTCCCTCCTTTGGCTTGACCCAATCCGTCAATCCCCTCAGCTGTGAAACCAACCCTGCCACCATGACTTTCAAATCTTCCATGGCAACAGGTAAGTCTTTAATCTTTCTCACCTCACTTGTAATCTTCTGTATGTCATTTTCAGTCTTGTCTATTCTTGCCTCCATTGCAGATCTAGTTGCTGCTGGCATCTATGATCAACTTGGCTCTGATACCCTTGACAGGTTAGGCCTTATCACACCAAGACTCGTTCAAGAGAGTCACCACCTCCCAAATCCTTGTAGGACAATTCTGCTTGTTTGTTTCATTGCTCTCAATCAAATATATAAGGTTACAAGCATCTCCATTCCTTATCCTAATAACACTTTGACTCAACTAGGACCTATGAAGCACGGATACAGACACGACACATGGCATGGACATGACACGGACACAGGGACACGCAAATTTTAAAAAAATAGGGGACACGACACGTTGGGGACACGTTTAATATATATAATTTTATTTATTTATTATATGTTTAAAATAAAAAGAAAATTATTAATTTTTATACAATTATAATAATAAAAAAATTAATAAACATATTTTTTTTAATTTTTTTAATATATAATGAGTTTTTTTAAATAAAAATAATTTATTTTATGAATTTTAGGTTTAATAAAAATAAGGATAGAAAAAAGAAAAAAGCAAAAAAAAAAGAGGGAAGAAAATAAAGGAGAAGAGAAATAGAAAAGAGAGAGAGAGAGAGAGAGAGGGAGACACGGGTGAATCAGTAAAAAGGGAAAAACAAGAAAAAAGAGAAACAAAAGAGGGAAATTGAAATCAGAGAGAGAGAATAGGAGAAGTCGAAGAAAAGGGAGGAGAAGAAGATGAAGGAGACAGAAGACGCAGAGGAGGAGGCGAAGAAGAAGAGAGCAGATGAAGAATACCTCAGCTTCTTCAATTGATCTGAACAGGTGAGGGCTTCTCTCCTCTCCTTCCTCGATCTCTTTCTCTGTCTCTGTCTTCTCTCCTCCCTTGATCTCTTTCTCTGTCTCTATTTCTCTTTCTCTGTCTCTTCTCCTCCCTTGATCTCTTTCTCTCTTTCTCTCTTTCTCTCCAACAATTAGGGCTTCGATTGTCCTCATGCGTGTCCGGAAAGTGTCATAGAGTGTCCATGGCGTGTCCGACTACAAAAATTCCAAAAAAAAAAGACACGTTAGAGAGAGTGTCAGACACGTGTCCACCGCGTGTCCGATGCGTGTACATGTCCGACACGTGTCCGATACTCGTACGCAGGCCCTGGGGATGTGTCGATGCTTCATAGACTAGGACTCTAGCATAACAATTAAATAGGACTCTAACATAACCATTAAATAGATAACAACCAAATCTGAAATAGCAGGATGAAACAAGGATAACTATCTAATCCAAATCTAAACTGCTGTGCAATTTGCTGGGCTGGACTTGGGCCTTCTTTGATAGGACTGAAATATGGGTGGCAAATCTTGAGGCCTATCAGCCTCTTTGGTCCTGCTAGCTGACTAAAGAAGACATCAATATGGGTATTTCCACATAGGAAGGAGATTCTTATTCAAGAGGGAGTCATTTTTTGCTCTAACCCTGCCACGATTGTTTTTAGAGCTTTATTTTTAATGGAAATGCATAAAAGTCCTGGAGTGGCTTTTATGGGACCATGAAAAGTAGGACCAAATGACTCAGTTGAGGAGTTTAACCCTTTTTATTGTTCTTCTAGGCCTCTTGTTGAGTTGTCGGAGTTTGCAAAATGTACTACTTTGGGCCTCAAGAGACTGTTGTATTTGGGCCCTTTTGTTACCCCCGAGAGTATTGCTGCGTGTTTTGTTTAGTGCCCTTCACAAGTTTATTTTTTCTGCATTCTTGTTGCTTATGGCTTCTTTCACTTTCGAAACTTCCTTGCCACAATTTATTGCTTCTGCGGGGTTTACTATCCGAACACCCACAACTGGAAATTAGGACTCTCTTGCATAATGTAGCCAAGAATGGCCTAACTCTTTGTTTTTATTGTAAGCCTTTAGATCGTTGCACACATCCTTACGAATGGACTTTCACAAAAGCTATCCTTTCTTGTACAAATTTTAGATAATCAATTTCTGCTGTGTTTGAGAGCAGGCATAAAGAGAGTTACTCAGCTAGAATCGTGAAATTTAAGCAATAGTTTAGACTCTTGTGAAGCAGATTTTGTGGGCAGTTTGTTGTCTATTTTTAACTAATAAACACAAACTAGGAAGAAAATACAATTAAAAAAAGAAGACATTAATATAATTGTAAAGTTCTTGCATGCTACAACAACTATAATAATGATCAGAGCCAAAAGCACCAATATAAGATCAGGCATAAATTAAAATCTCAAAGGCTGAGGGATTTTGTATTGAAGAGGCTTCTCCATGTTGTTCTAATATCACTAATTTAGTAGCCACTAACATGTTTGGCAATATTTTGGCATAGTGACTGTGACATTGCAAACTTTAATGTTAACAATATACTTTTTAATTTTGTTTTTGTTTTTGTTTTTCTTAGTCTGTTTTTCAATTCCAGCAATGCTGTTTGGACATGGAAATAAAATTGTTTTGTGTTATTAACTTTGGATAATATCAAGGACTTTCCCTTTTGGACCACATTCATGCAGGGGTCTTCATACTGTGCTTAGACAATTTGTGCTCAAGGATGGGAATTTATATCTATGTATATAGCTATATTTTTGTACACACACACACACACACACATATCCATACAAGTACATATATGTATGTGTGAAGGTACAGCTCCATTTATTTAATTATATAGTTATTTCCTTGCAATCATCTTCCTTAAGCTTGTGATTGGTTTTGTTACTTATATCTTGAGGTGATCTTCAGCATTTATTTGTTTCATCTGCTTCTTAATTTTCTTTAGCCAAGTTATAATAATCTAGCAATCGGGTGTCTTGCCATATCATTTCATGTTAGTGTTCATCATGTTACCATTTAAACTGAATGTTGCAGGTGTGTGCCACTCTCTTTCCTTCACGTGAATAGGGAAAAAAGAAAACTATACATGTTGTCTCTGTCCTTCCCTGGGACAGTGGTGTTGCATTAAGTTAAAATTTAACTATAAAGTTATGGACTGGGTTGAAGAGATACGCCAGAAGTTTGAAATTCTATGCTTGGAGGTGGATGGTGTCGTGCATGAGGTTTTGCATTTACCTTCCTCTCCTTTTTCTCTCTTCTAATCAATGTACATTGTTTTTCTTTGAGATGATTCTTCTTGTTTATTATTGATTTTTTTGAACTAAGATGAGATGCTCAATGGGTAGTAGAGAGAGTGATGTGACAACTTATAGTGACTTTTTGGCGATTTGGCTAAAATGTTTTGTCCCCAAACAAGGCCTTAATGCGGACATTTATCTAATCCATAAAGTTGTGACAGATTCTTTTCCTACAAATCGAACCATGTTCTTGTTAAACTTGTTCAAAATTTTGAACATTCTGGTTGGACTCTTTCAAGCTTGACCCAATTTTTGCTTCAAATGTGGGACATATTTTAGATTCCAAATATTATTTTGGAATAATGGTCTGAATAGTTTTAAAATAAAAAAGAAAAAGAAAACTAGATAGAAAAATTTTAAATCACTCCTGATTTTCATACATAGGCAAATTTTCTATTCGTTCTACCCTTAAATTGATTTGAGTATTTATAAATGCAGAACATCGTTACTATGAAGTGATTTATCACATAGGTTATGCTCCAATGGTTCAAGAAGTGTTGCCAAACCCTCTTTAAGTCCGATATTATGAATGAATTTTTTTAATCTAGACACGTTGAAGAAGCGTCGGTCACGCTTTTAGGGGAGTCCACAAAATGTCGATGTCCAACAAGACACGGCTACTTCATAGAAGTGGCCGTGCTTCTTAGGCTACATGTCTGTATGTCATATTGTATTGGCTACTAGAGCTGCTACGTTTGCCACATAAATATCAATTCCTCACTTGGACAGGAAGCATTTAGACATGCTGAATGATGACAATTTTTGTCTATCTAATCTACCTTCAAATTGATTTGTGTTCCTTTGACAAATCTGAGTCTACCTTTTTCCCTAGGGTAGGAAATTGTGAAACCATGTTTTGCTGTGGTTGTTTTTTCTGTTGTTTATTCTCCCTGCATCAGGTTGAATAGCTACTCTGTTACGAGGTTTACTATATCTCATATCATTTATGCTCCTGATGCCGCTAATGTTTATCAAATCGAAATTGTTTTTGTATTTTGACATTGCAGACAGTGGGCGCCAATATTGAAAACCAAGTGCAGACAATGGGTGCCAATATAAAACAATTCTGTTCAGAATTTGTGCATGATGTGATGCCTTCATTTTCACCAGATTTCATGGAAGGGGTAACTCCTGAATTATCTCCTCAAAAAAATAAAAATGTTAATCTCACAGCTCAGGAAAGCTCAATGATTGGTGTTGATATTGACCCTAAGAAGGGACTATGCAACAAAAACTCTTTGGCCCATCAATATTGTATGGAACCTGTGGATGAGAAACGTATTGATTTATTGTCAAAGAAAAAGGATGATATTGGTATGAGTGAAAAGTTAAATGTGAGTGTAATGGAAAATGCCACAGCGAAGAAACCATTCCCAACAGAGATTCCAGTAGTAGTTGATACTGCAGAGAAAGATTCAAGTTTGACATCATTATTTTGTGGAGTCAACGCATCTGATGATGAAAGATGGGATGGTCAAGATGATTTGTCAACACCAGTATCACTAGATGGGTATCATTCTTGTATGAAGGAAGGGGAAACTACTGGACTTACCACAGCTGACAATTCAAATGTGCTGCCATCAGCTAATTCAGTTATTTTAGTTGAGTCCTGCAAGTGTGGAGTTTCTGATACTGGACTTACTTCAGTTGATGCTTGCTCAGCAATATCAAGTGGTAAGGTTTTGTTATCCTATTTGTTATATGTGGTTCTTTCTTTAATTTTACTTACTTCTGTTGATTTCTACTCTGGCTGGTGCTGCTACCTTTGTGACTGCATCTGTGACAGATTCTTGTTGGCTTGGGTTTGAGCTACCCAATGAAGTTTCTGAATCAGAAGATTATGTTTCCATTGCAGATTCTGGTAAATTGTCATTTCGGTCTTTTCTTGTGTATTTTAATTATTTTTAAAAAAATATTGGAGCCCAAGATAATTGTGCCTAGAGGGGGTTGAATAGGCCAATTTCAAGAATTATCTCAAGATTACCAATTAATTTTGATGATTAAAATTAAATTGTGATCACATTGAAAATCCAAATAACTTAGAGATGGAAGACACAACAATTAACGTGGAGACCCTCCAGGAAAACTCTCCAAGAGGGGAAAAACCATGGTCCCAATACTAAGCAAAATCCACTGCAGGACAGAGGAAGGATTACAACCGAACCTTGGTTAACCCTATCGCGGAAGTCTTGAAATGCTCCACAAGCACAACCTTACCCAGTCAGCCTCCTTTAACTTGATTGAGCAGCACAAAGCTTCCCGCCTCAATCTTCATACACCGACGACTTTGTTAACCCAGCGGACAGGAGTGAGAGGACAATGCAATGCAGGATTTTTTACGGTTTTTGTTTTTGATCACTCACTCACATATGATGAAAATTTTGGTCTCCAAATTTTTCAAGCTCTTAGCAAAAAGGGCTGCATAAAATAATGAGTTTGGTTACCCTAAAATATTAGATGGATGCTTATATAGCAAGGAATCAACCTAAACTTTAATCTGATGGGAATACACAAAATCCTGTTCAAGGGATTGATCCCCACATTCCCCCAATCAATCACAAGCTTCTTGAAGCTCAAATAGACGGCAAACAAAGAAGGGCGATCGATCTTCTAAGTAGGCTAAAAAATGAGGAAGAGTGATCAATGCAAGGGATTGATCTCCTCCTCTGCTATGGCAATTGATCACCTCAGGAGGGGATCGATCACCAGCCACTGATGTAGAAAATGACCTTAGATCAACCCTAACAAAAATAATATTTATGCTTTTAAAACATAGGGCACAAAACCTAAGATGCAACCTACCATGAATGCAAGTGACTATGAGAGCAGGTAACATAGTGAAACTTTCTGTTGATGAAGAAGCTGACTGAGGTATTGATGTAGAATGACTATTAAGAAATCCATTCAACTATTTAATTGATCCCAAAAGGCCAAATATGTGGAGAATTGATACAAAAGAGAAGATAAAAAAATATGGAAAAGAATAAGAATAGAGAAAAAAGAAGAACAAGGGTCAAAGTCTCACAAAAACGGCCACAACCTTATAAAAATGTTGAGAGGGAAAAATTGGGTAGAATCTATGGGGAGCTATGTTACATGGACCCGGGTATGGGTGTCGGATGTGGGTATGTATTTAGAGGTCGGGCTCATCAAATCATAAATTTAAGGATACGCGGACTTGGTAAAATAATGTCAATTTTTTTATATTTTTAATCAAGTATGTGAGATAAAATTGTGCTACGTGTAGTGTCAAAAAGACATTTATAACAATTGTACAATAATATGTACATATAATAGTAATGTTAAATATAATTATATTGGAAGTGTTTGATGAAAAGTATTTGGCACATCCCATATCCTTGTCCAAGTGTCGGGTGTCCGACATAAGTATTTGATTTATTTTGAAGAGTCCGTTTGACATAGATAGGGAGTATTTTTCTTTTAGTGAGCAGACATGCTATGATGCTACTATGCTAGTAATTGTAGTTTGGGGATCACATGGCATCTATCATTTTCATCACATGGCATATTTATTTAAAATCCTTTTCTATAATTCCAGCTTATTTTAAAGTTTTTTTTCCCCTGTTTTGTTGCTAGTTATCTGCTAATCATTTGATATTTGTTCAATTATATATTTCTTGTGTTGGATTCAGTGTGATGATAACTGAAAAGTTAAAACATGGATAACTTGCATTTTTCTTTTGTTTTAAGTCGCAGAAGGATCAGACAATGTCGGTACAGAAAAGTTCACAGATGGTCAAGTTATTGAACCAGCCATGGAAACCACCAATTTTAGTGAACTAAAGCTTGATGAGAGTTGTATTGTGGTGGATAGTGCTAAACTTTGTTCTGTTTGTCTCAGAGCAGCAAAAAGTCAATCATACAAGGTGCATGATCCCTCTCCTGTGAATTTAGTGTTCTGTTTAAAATTTGGTGCCATGAGTAATTTATATTACAAATTTGTAGTTTGAAACAAATATTTTGAAGTATATTAATGTAACTTATGGATTCATTCTTGTAAGCATGGTTGTTAGAATCTTACGACTCACAATACATTTCAATACAAGTTTCAACCAAAATGATTTGTTTCGTGCTGTTCAAACTTAAATTAAGTGAATCGTTTGATTCAATTGTGATTCATACTGATTCACTTCTATTTGCAAATGCATGAAATGTCATTTTCACCAAAAAAAATTAATAATAATAATTATATTGATATACATATTTTTATATGCATATATAAAATTTAGTCATGTTGATATTTATTTTATTTTAACCACTGTATGTGTGTTTATATGTGTACATATATGAAATGATTTTTTATGTTAAATAAAATTAATATTAAAATTCGCGATTTGATTCGAGATTTGACAACGAAGCTTGTTAGATTATTTTGTTAGAACTCGCTTTCCTGCTGCATGGACTTCAACTGCCGTATGATTTCTTTTACTTTCAGAAGAAAATATGTGAGGCTTTTACTGCAAAAATGAAGTCAGCGAAAGAGCAGGAGCGTGAGCAGCAAGCACCCAGGAATGAAGATCGTGATGCAGGATTAAATCAACACAAAGGAGAGCGTTTAGCACCACCTGCGCTTACAACGAAAATCGAGACTGTGGATCATGATTTTTGTGATTCTGAATGGGAAATTATTTAGATAAATTTTCACTTCCTTTGCAAATAATCTGGCAATTCAATTGTAGTTTTAGCGATTCCTCTGACGGATTGTTAATAACTGTGGGGATGAGGACGATCCATGCATTTTTGTGCAATTCCATAACAAATTTTATAGAATGGGAGAGCCCATGTTCTTAAAATCATGGTGTAGGCTGTGATTTTCTCAGTGCTTCTTGTTCTACCTACTGTAGGTTTTTGAAAGTGTGAAATGTAGTTTGGTTATTTTATATTTTCTTTTGGGGTACTGTAGTCATGTGAGTGGGTTAGAGTTTTGTTATCTATCTATCTATCTATGTGTTATTATTAAGTGAAGGTCTCAATTTGTATAGTGAAACCTTACTTTTCTCATGTCACATGGCATTTTTTTTAATTGTAAATAAAGTTGCACAAAGAGGTAGGCAAGATTAGAATCCATGACCATGGGTTTAAGGTAAGAGGACTCATATTACTTAAATACACATTATAATATTAATTTCATTATTATTTTCTTTTATTCTTACTTATTTGAATTGTACACGAATTGCGTATGTCACGCACTAGTCTATTTTATGTATCTTGTTTTCTAATTTTTAGTTAGCACGACTATGTAATTAGGTTTTGATGGATTCATATCATTGTTTTTATATCATTTTGGGTCTTTCTGTTTGCATTTTGTTTCTCTTTGAATCTCCGCGTGCAAGATAAGATAAGATTAGAAGTGAGGGAAGATGTTGGATAACTTCTGTTACCAAAAATTTGGTTTGAAGTAAATTGATGGAGAAAAGTCGACAGACAAAATAAATTTTTACAAACAACAAACAAATTAGGCAATGTGATTGGTGTTCTTTGCCTTGATAGTTTCAATGACTCTTTTGGAGGTAATCGATAGAGAGAAACAAACTAAAATTGAAATTATATTGCTAAAATTGTTATTTATTACAAAAATTTGAATAAGAGCGAAGACAAAAATACAAAAGAACCATAAAAAAGCTTACTGATTGAAAGAATCAGAAAATGATTATAGAACTATTAAATTAAAACTACTTCTAAAGAGAATAAACTATTCCTATGCTAGAAGCTATTTACTCCTAATTGAACTCCTGTAGAGTTGTTGGATTTGATTGATGTACCTCTGCTTGAATTTCTTTGCCTATTTATTCTCAAAACCCACGGTTGGTTTGCTTGAATTTCTTTGCCTATTTCTTCTCAAAACCCACGGTTGGTTTCCTTTGGCAAGAGACTGATAGATAGTTTCTTCTTCTTAAGCTACATTCTTGTCTTTTGTCACAACATAAAAAACTACCCCAATATATTAGCAACGTTGGAAGTTATCCCAATATATTAGCTTATACCATAGTCACACATGGCACTACTTCAATTTGTAACCACCTACTTCCAGCACAAATACCAATAAATTGTATAATAATAATAATAAATAAATAAATAAATGTGGCCATAGTTACTCTTAAAAGATGATATGGTCTGAATCGACAGACCATAGTCAACAATCCTCCATTAACAAGATTAGATTTGGCTTATTTTAGCCACAATTGATAGGGAAAAAAAATATGGTATCAACAATGCCCCCTTCATTTTAGGTAAAAATGAATTTTACCTTAAATGATTTAAAGAATAAAATCTGAATCAACCTATGTTCACTAAAATATATATATATATATATATATATATAAAATCAAATTTATTAACTTGGCATGGCATGCGACAAAATGCAAATGATGAGGGCCAATTTTCTTTACTCAAACCAATGAATATTTCAAAAGAGAACACAACTAGTTATTTTCCAAAGCCACTTATTATCTTGGCATGATATTCGACAGAACACCAAAAGTGAGCCAATTTTTGGCCAATTTTCTTTCACTCAAAAATATGTAAAGCAATCAATATACTGTCTAAACCTTGTGCTTTTGTTAGCCACTTCATCAAATTTATATTTTGGTGTGACCTACAAATCCAAAGAATTTTGAATAACAAAAGTCATTGTATAAATTGACTTTTAAAATTTATATATTTCATCATGTTGAATAATATCAAAAATGTTGAATCCATGAACATTTGGTTGTTCATCAATTTTAGTCATGTTTGGCTCAAAAACTTGTTTTTCTCCCAAATGAAAAGGGGATTTTAACCATTAATTTTGCCAAGTTTGGCAAAATATCATGCCCCCAAGTAAATCTTCACCACCATTTTGTGAGGATTGTTCACCATTCTTAAAATCACACTTTTTAGCCACATTATTTGCACCGTTCTCTAGATTAAGAGTTGCAAAAAATGGCTAATTTTTTATTTCACACATCAATGGGTTTGAATAATTTTTTGAACACCCAGAAAGTGTTGACCGACTTTCTTTTTCAAATAATGGGTTGAAAATATTTTTTGAAAACCCAAATTGGGTTTTTTCTTTATGAAGTTGCCCCCTTGTTGTCAAATTTGTATTATCATGGCTTTTGTTATTTTCAACCATGACAATTGATGGAGCAAATTTTCCACCATTCCCAGCTTTTAAATATGTACAAGGAGCAACTGAAAAGCCATAAAATTTGGATTTTGTAAGAACATTGCTTCTTTCCTTTGAAAAATTTCAATCTCAAAATGATTTTGTGTTTCTGATCTCAAATAATATGGCAGTGGCACGATTGTTTGAACTTTTCGCCAATCAAGATAATCAATTTTATCTTCTAGAGATAAAATTTCATTCTCACATTAACACATTTCATCATCACAATGCCGAATCATTATTTTCATATCATTTATCATGCCATTATGTTGGCAATATGTGTTAGAGTCATTACCGTAATTGAGAGGGTAATTTTTGGAAAAAATTGGGCCGAGCTGCGAGTTGGGCTTCGTGGCCCAAAGTGCGAAGGACTAAGTAAAAAGGCCGTAATGGTTACTATGGCCCAGGAGAGGCAAGGTTACTCCGGCCTAGGAGAAACAAAGTTACTCCGGCCCAGGGAGGTAAAATTACTTCGGCTCAGGAATTATAAGGATACTTCGGTCTGGGAACGATTTAGAGTTATGCCGGTCTTGGAGTTATACCGGCCGAGAGTCATTGGTTCGGTCTAAGACCGTACCATTGGTTGAACATGGGAAAACCGAGATAAGGATAGAGTTAAAAGTGGAACCGAGCTAAGAATAGTTCGGTTTACTCAGTAGCTCTGCATAGCGAAGCTTATTTCGGTCATATAGTAGTTCGGCCAAAGTAAAAACCATCCCACTTGGTTTAAGCAGTGGGGGAGGGTGTAAAAGGATAAGCATTATCCTTAGGAGTATGAATCCTAGGAGGACTCTGCATGGAGGAATAACAGTCCTACTAGGATTGTGCCACAGGAAACTTATAAAAGCTCACAAACATCACATTGGAGGAGGTAATTTGACACAACACAATTTTTCTGAGAACATAGAGCTTTTGTCTATTTGTCAAGTTACTGACTTAGGCATCGGAGAGGTTTCCGGCAAACACCCGCCGGCTAGCTCACGTTTGTGTTTTCAGGTGACAACGCAACGTTGTACGGAGGAGCGTGGACTTGGTCAACAGGATTATACGAGAAGGCGTATTTCTTTCCCGTACAATTGGCGCCGTCTGTGGGAAGAACAGACAGGAACAAAAAACCTCTTGACTAAGCTTCTCCTCTTCTCAATCAATGGCACACATTGAAGAACTACCGCAGTTCGCCGTCGACGGGCTGACTCCAGAAGGGGGCGCAAGACGTGAAGGATTACCTTCTGTCCCTCCCATGGCGGACTTGGAGCCCCAAAGACATACCTCCAGGAGGGATGCTAGGGGGAGACGGACTCACAGCCCCCGACAGTCCCATTCTCAAAGTCCCGACAGACAAAGACGGAGGATTGACCCTCAAGCTCTGGAAGATCGCGTAAAAGAACAAGATGAATTGATAAAGAAGATGGCGGCGGACATGGAAGCCTTGAAGCGCCAGATGAAGAAAAAAGAAGTGGCGACAGGAGAGGGGCGCAAAAACAAGACGCCCCCTCGCCACTCAGAGAATCGTAGTAGGAACACTACACCCTCGCGTTGAATTCTCATTCATCCGGAAAATGGTTTTGAGCAACCAAATACACGATTTTATTCACTACATGGCATTAAACATGAACCCAATGAAAAACGTTAAAAATAACACTTGGGTCCCACCTTAATTAATGCTCAAAGCTAGCAAAAAATAAGGATTTTTCAAAGCCATTTTCCAACATTTTAGTTAATTTTACACTTTTTAAGTTTTTAAGAGTATTTGTCTCCAACACACTAAACATATGCTGCCTTTTAGAGCACAACTCCAACCATGATATTTATTTTTTGCTTGCTAAAAGTAAAAAATGCAAATTTTATTTTAGCTAGCCATTTTACCTTGTCATTACTCCAAAGCTGCTCTCTATCCAAATAATTTATGATTAATAGTGTTTTATGGTATGCCACATTAGCGTTAGAGATGAAAGGAAAGAATATAGAATATTTCTTAGAATTTGATTATCCTTCAATAACTATTTTAATGTAAAGAGAAACAAAAGATGAAGTTAAATTAATATAGCATTTGGAGAGTCTGTTGGATCATTATAAAATGAAAATTGCTAGTCATTTTACTTGATAAAGGTTGGTTTAGGAATACGCTATTTTAGTAATTTTTTAATTTTTTGATTAAAATATGAGATGAAACAAATTAATATGTTTGGGATGATTTTTTATTTTTTTTTAATAAAAAAAAGTGCAAAAAATAGAGAGGAAAGAAAATATTTAATTTTTTTTTTATTGTTTCTTTAATATTTTGACTTTTTAGTGACTTTTTGAAGAGTACATTAGAGTTTCTCTTGGTTAAAAGGTCTAACATTACTCACTTTTTTTAACTCCTAACATTTGATCCTTATAAAGTTATAATCCTTTCCCTTTATCTTTGTTACTAATATGACATTCAAAAAAATAAATAGTGTTTAGATGAATAGCTAAAAATAAATAGTAATAATGTTGGAATAAAAACTTTAAAAGATAGATAAACAAAATAAAATGTATAATTTATGTAACTATTGAATAAACAAAATGTCTAATAGTATTAGAAATGCTCAAGTAGATTAACCTAATAGCCACCCATCCATTGCTAGTAACATATAGCTAGTCAAAAGACACTAGCTATTCAAAGAATATTGCGGAGGTGTTTGACATGTGCTAAAAAAACGGCATGTGCTAAAATAACAAGTACATTATTTTATTTGGGTCACAATC